AAAAATCTAAAGAACGTAAAGGGCATTTGTACCTTCGAACGAATTCTAAAATAAATACTGTTACGTCTCCGTTTGTTAATTAACTTTCCGTAACTTCGTTCCGACGAAACTTTAACGACACAAGTCTTTACTTAATAAAACTGGTTTATTCTTTCCGAATATAACTTTACGATACACTTAATTTCAATATTCGCGCTAAAACAAACACTATAACGAACGAACGTTAACTTCAACAATACCCTGTGACTGCAGTTCAATTACTCACTATCTACAAACACATTATTGTCCCGTCACGTTGTCACCCTCTTTTATATACCAGACTACCCTATATTTAGTAAATACTAGAGCATTCGCCAAGGTACAGGATAGTTCTAGAAAATAGGTGGCGCCACGCCAGTCACGTGACCTTGATGACGCAACAATACTATCAACTACCTGAACCATGGAACAAAAGTTGCCCACTAGCCGCAAATGTCCAGTGCTGTTGACATCGTAATTCCGGCCAGATTTACCTACCTATTTGTGCAGTTTATCATTTTGGGAAATCTTTGTCTCACTTTGCTTTTCATTTATTTTGTTTCTTGAACAGTGCCAGAACTCCAAATATAAAATTGACTGATTTCACCCATAAAATGGATAAATGGCTGAAAACTTGTAACAAGTCTAGTGAAGGCAGCGTTGCTTCTGGAAGTTCTGACCTAGGCCTAAGTGGTAAAGATGAGGAAAGTATGGCGAGTTCGTCGACATCATTGCCATGTGACAAAGCGCCAAGAACGCAAATTAAAATGTCATAAAAATAGTAGAAAGAAAATATGACGATAGTTTTATAAACTATGGTTTTACATAACCTGGTGATAAGGAAGAACCAAGCGGACTTTGTGTTGAATGTGGAAAGGTGCTGAAAGTAGTCTCTTTCCTGCAAACCTCAAATGACATTTAGAAACCAATCATTCTCACTTGAAAGATAAAAGCAGTGAATATTTTAAAAGGAAGTGTTTAGAAATAGACGAAAGAAAAACTAAGTTTCATTCATTTATTTCTAAAGACAACAAAATAACTCTTATTACTTCATATCGTATTAGCTACCCTATAGCTAAAGAAGGTGAATCCATACTATAGCTGAAAATCTAATCAAGCCTTGTGTCAAAGATTTTGTTGAATGTATGATTGATGAAAAATACCTTCAAAACATTAATTGTGTGCCTCTTTCAAATAATACAGTTTCTAGGGGTATTGAAGACATGTCAGCGTTTTGTGAAAATGAATTAATAAGGCGAGTAAAGCTGAGTCCAACTTTTTCTCTCCAAATGGATGAATCCATTGATGTTACAGGCTTGGCCATTTTACTAGTATTCGTTCGTTATATACATGAATCTCGTATTAAAGAAGATATTTTACTGTGCAAGCCTTTAGCTATGCACACAACAGGGGAAGAAATATTTAAGTTGGTTGATTTATTTATGATAGACCATATAATTTCATGGAAACAATGTTCAAGTATATGCACTGATGGAGCTGCTGCTATTATAGGAAAAATTTCAGGAGCTGTAGCACGCATGGAGAAAGAAAACCCGGAAATTGAAAGTATCCATTGCTTTCTTCATCGGCATGCACTTGCCATGAAGCGCATGCCCTTAAATTTGAAAGAAGTAATTAGTGATGTAACTAAAATAATTAATTTCATAAAATCAAGACCACTTAATTCAAGAATTTTTTGTTTATTGTGTAACGATATGGGAAGCATCCATACAGCTTTATTGCTGCATACAGAGTTTCGTTGGCTGTCTCGAGGCAGAGTTTTAGCTAGATTCTACGAGTTGCGTGAGGAGATTACGGTTTTTTGTCCCAACATACATTTGAGCTTGCTTACAAATTAAGTGATACATGTTGGTTGCAAGGATTGGCTTACCTTTCAGATATATTCTCATATCTAAATGAAATAAATGTTGCATTGCAGGGCAAAAATGTAACATATTTCAAAGCTCAGAGTAAGATTAATGCACTTCAGCGCAAGCTGAAATTTTGGAGTAAGTGTGATTTTGGGGAAAATTATGATTGCTTTGACAATCTTTGTGAATTTTTACTTTTTAATTGAAATACAGACGTAAAAGATTCTGTCGTGCAACATTTATCTGATATGAGAGCAATCATTGTTGAATACTTTCCTTCAGATGTCGAGAAGTTCCTTTGGATTCAAAATCCCTTCACTGATTCTGTGAATACAGATGAATTGTCTTTAAAAGAAAAAGAGCAACTTATAGAAATTTCCACCAACTCTACATTATTAACTTTCTTTCAAATAGAGGAAATTGCTAATTTTTGGATTAAGATATATACGAAATACAGAGAAATCACGATCAAGGCATTGAAGTTTTTGATGCGTTTCCCAACAACATACCTTTGTGACAAATCTTTTTCGTTATATGCCGCTACCAAATCTAAATTTAGAAATAGATCGAACATAGAAAATGATCTCCGTTTACAGATAACATCAATAACTCCTGATATTGAAAAAGTTTGCAGTACGAAGCAACCGCAAGTCAGCCACTAAATTGTGCCAAAAAGATTTCTTTTTGTCTTTTATTTGAAATTATTCAATAAAGGTCATTGTTTTTATGCATTTCTTTTTTACTTTTCCTAATCCATAAGGTTTGTTTAAAATTTACAGATGATATTGCTCCGCAAATTATGTTTTCCGTTAAAAGTGCTCTGAAAGAGCAAAAAGGTTGGGAAACTCTGATGTAGATAATGATCAACTTCCGATCTGGTGTGAATTTAATCTCCCACAATACATATATTACAAACATACACATTATATATATAATTGTAATATTACGTAGAACATAAAAAAAGAAACAACGCAGTACAAAACAGACATGTATCACCTGTGCACACACCATAAGGTGGGTAGTTATGCAGTGTGTCCTAGTTTTTGCGTTGGGGGTACACTATCTATCCATATTAACCTCAGTTTCGCAGACTTCACATTCTTAATAAGAAACAAAAAAGAACAGATATGGATTGTTATGTATTAGAATTTCAAATGGTCTGAAACCGAGCTAAATGATACTTTAAGTTTAGTAAATTAATTGTACTTTGGATTTAGTAGTTAAGTAAAAGCCGATATATAGTCAGTTTATTATATTTGCCAACGAGATTAATACAAACAGTTTTCTTTTTTTAACATAAATACGTTTTAGTATACATACAATACAATTTACAATAACAGTTATTACAAACAATGATTTATAAACAAAAGTTTCACAAACTTACAAGCAATATAAAGTCTTCTTTCTAGTCTGGAACTTCTTCGATATCTTATCGAGGGTTCACGATGAGCGAGTTAATTACGAGTTGACATAGGTATAATTCACTTAACAGGGAGCTAGCTAGCTTTGTCCTTCGTTATTCACTAGCCACACACGCCGAGTTTTCCTACCGGTGACGTTAGGTAATGTTTTCATAAAATTACTAATGTCTGATGTGAATCCACTGAAGATGAATGATTTCTAATGTTCGAATTTTGTAAATGCTCCTGGTCAAATATCTGAAGTTTTCCCGATTGATAAGCGTTATAACAATCACAGTTATAGCTTCCGAAGTTTATAGCACACTGACTATAGCAAACTAATAATAGATACTCTTTTTTTTTGGCGCGTCGCATTGGTTATATTTATAGGCGTGTGGAATGTTTCACGAAAATTCAGATTACGTAACAATACAACTTTAGAGAATAGGCGGGAGTTTCGCAATACATATATAACACTATAAGCTATGCATATTTCTAAATATAGATTTAATCTAAACAAACGTTGATATTAAAATAAATATATAATGATAAATCCGTCACAGGATGCTCTAGCCCACAGTGTCCCACATCTTCACCACCTTTCGCTGTCTGCAGCCAGATGTGGGAAGGTGGCTGCTCAAAAAATAAAATAAAATAATAATTCAGTAAGAAGAAAGAAATGTTTGGAATACATACATCAATGGGGAAAACAGTCCTTGAAGTTGGCATTTCAGCCCCATAACGATGTTAAGGTATTATTATACAAGCCCAACCTAAATTGTTAGTATAGCTTCCATCCATGCTACTGTCAGGATCTTCGAAGGTTCTACAAGAATTACATAGTAGTAGGTTTTATATAGAGAAAGTGATACATCTACATTAATACACCTATACAAGATACAGTCCAAATAAGTAATTCCAATAATTTCCCCAACAAAAAATAGAAATTATTCTTTATTATGTATTATGATTTCGTTTATACTACTATTTATAAATTTACGTTAAAAATCTGTTTATTCAGTAATACATAAATATTGGAAATTAGGAACTGTTCATTGTTATAAATTCTACAACACCTGAGTAGCTGTGAATGTATGATGCTCTGTACGGCATTATTTGGCGTTACTGTTTGGCAAGTGAAGTCCAAAAAATTGAAAGGCAAAATAATTTATTTTATCATAAATATTACAATAATTATTAAGTATTTTAATATCTAAATATAAATAATGTATTTCGGTATTTGATATAGAGGTGTTTTCGATTTGTAAAACTGTAAGATAAATATTACTGATATAATTACTTATTAATTGATTACTGATGCAAATTAAATCATCAATATATCTATAAGTTAAATAAAATAATTCCGGATTTGAAAAACTATTTATAAATTTATTTTCATAAAGTAAAGATATAAATTAGCAACACTGCTTGGAAAATTAGCACCCATTGCTTTACCATTTGTTTATAAACATGCTTATAAAAATGAATATAGTTATTATGTATGCAAAAACTGAACATATATTTGGAGTTGTTAGCATTAAAAGTTTGTTTTTTATCTTTATAAGTAGATCTATAAATTAATATATTAATCAATTAATCGCCATTACCAAATCGTTAAGTGTTATAGTTGTAAATAAAGTAGTAAAATCACAAGTTTGTTTTGTATCTGCTGATTGTTTTTATTTAAATTTCCTAATGTTTTTAAGATAGGTTAATTATCTTAATTATCCAGAAATCATGTTTACTATTTGGGTTTTGTTGTAGCTTAAAAAATAACTGATTCAGTAATTTATTTAATAAAACTGCAGGTTGTTTTAGTATAGTTTTTACTGAACTAGAAATATAATGACATTTAATGGGAGATTTTCGTAGTTTAGGAACAGCCTATACATACGGTAATTCTAAATATAGATTTGCTTTAACATCAATTTTCTTTTTGGCTTTCAACAAATTGTTAATAATAGCATCTTTAGACTTGTCTTGTAACCAAAATGTTTGTGTAGTATATATTTAATTAGTTACAAGTTGTGCATAAAAACGTTTACAGATAAAACCAAAATTACAGTTGGCTTTATCGATAGGAACGATAATATTTTTTCTTGTATTTTACCAATTTTAGTTTCAAACTGAAAAGAAAATGTTATGTATATCGGATATCTTTTAAATCAATAAAAGCTAATTTATCTTTAATTCTATTAATGACATAATAGTAATCCTTTACTACACATAATGAAACAAAAACATCTATAGTAGAAAGATTTAATCACACTCTTGAACTAAAATGTAGCACTACTTTACTCATTGTGGAACTTATAAATATATCACTGTATTGAAACATCGGGGCAGTGCCTATAATGAGTCGTATCATCGCAGTATTAAAATGAGACCAATATATGTTAATCACTCTAATCAGTATGTTGTATGGAAAACACTTTACAAAACATTATGTCACTGTTTTTATGCATTTCTTTTTTACTTTTCCTAATCCATAAGGTTTGTTTAAAATTTACAGATGATATTGCTCCGCAAAAAATATTTTCCGTTAAAAGTGCTCCGAAAGAGCAAAAAGGTTGGGAAACCCTGTCCTAGATCTTCGAGTTGTTTTTGTTTTTCAATAGTACGATTTCTTATAAAGCACATGGGTCTATTTAAATCAACATTTTTTGTGTGAGAATCGTAACATTTATCACAGCCATGATAATAGCGTCTGCAAAATGCATAGATGGAATTTTGTTCCTTACAGAAACCGTCAACCCTATAATTCGGGATTTGTTTCTCACCGCCATTAAGTGCATGTTGAATCTTTATACCCTCAGATTTTTGTATATAGTCAAACCATTGAATACTGAATATTGAATACTGTAGTTTTTTGTTGTAAACTATCCATGGTTAGGTATTAGAACTATCGATCGTGATGTTATAAACTTACTTCTATAAACAGACATGCACACAGCAGCGTGTAGACCTAAATGGATCTACATCACAGATTGTGAGAAACTCATCACTGAACTGGAGACAGCGCTGTTGTAGTATATCTACGTCTGATCGACAGTATCTAAAAAAAATAAAGGATGTTAAGTACAATATTCAACAATGGTAAATCATAATGAGAAGGCCTGGCATGGCCAGGTGGTTAGGGCGCTCGACTTGCAATCTGAGGGTCGCGAGTTCGAATCCCCCCTCCCACCAAACATGCTCGCCCTTTCAGCCGTGGGGGCGTTATAATGTGACGGTCAATCCCACTATTCGTTGGTAAAAGAGTAGCCAAAGAGTTGGCGGTTGGCGGTGATGACTAGCTGCCTTCCCTCTAGTCTTACACTGCTAAATTAGGGACGGATAGCGCAGATAGCCCTCGTGTAGCTTTGCGCGAAATTCAAAATAAACAAATAAATAAACGTGTTATTTTTAACAATACACTTTCATGAAAACAGCAAAATATAATTGATGAGAATTAAAGATAATAGTTTTCTTACCTGTACATCTCTTATTGGAAGTCAAAGATGTATTCTTCTTCTCGTGGCTGCCAGTGCCAATCCAGGAACGGGCGATGACATGGTGTCGGGACAGTAAAAACTGGCATCCAGGATAGGTCCTCGATATTCTTGATTGAACTTGATATTAAAAAGATGAGGGAAATATCCTTTCTGTAGTTCTTCTAATCCAAATGTTTTTGGAAACAATGATAAAGACATGGGTATAAAATTATAACTGTCAATTACCCTTATTCCGAGACTTTTGGCTGTTATAATCGTATTTTTCCGCCGTTTACAATAATCTAGGGTTTTATTCCTTGACCAATAAGATAATTCAATATAAAGTGACCTCAAAACCTTTCATATTATGTGCTATAACGGTATAATTCGTATGTTCTTTTGAAAATAAGAATTTACCGAATTCGTCACATGAATTATATGAATTATATAAACAGAAAACTGTTTCCTTATCATTAAAATTATGGACCACACAGTAGTTTACCTCGTAAATTCCTGTTTCCTAATCTGTCTTTGACATTTTTGTCCTGGAAAAAAATATAAATGGTTGTTTAAGATATATGATTTACGTCCTTCACAAATGTGTTCGCCACAACGATGAAATTCTGGATAACGTTTCTTTCTGTCAATAATGATAAAACAATTCTTGCACTGATAAAATTTGTCACACAAAGATTTCATTTGCCTATCATTCATTGATTTATGTCGATTGTAACATTCTACAGATGTACAAGATTTGTTACAATCGGAACAGACAACGGATTGACCTTTCACAGATTCATTACGATAACAAACGTTACAGTACTCTGAACAATGATGCTTGTTTAAATGATCAAATGATTAATCGCATTCTGAGCAATAATAACTTACCTCGAGGAAACCTTTCATTGATGTTATAATGTTGATTAAACCCTATGTGTCATACGTTAGTGACGTCAATATATTCAAAGTACAATTAGTTTGACATCTCAGATAGAAAAGAAACGCCTTCTGTTTACAGTTAGATGGCGAATTTGTTCGTTTCGTATACTTATTATAATAATGAAACAACGCCTGAAACGTTATGGTAATTGAAATAGGGTTATTGTCCAACAGAACATTGAGGAAGTTATGTGTTTCATACACAAGACTTACGTATATTTGTCAGTCAAGATTATATGCATCCATTGAAGCAACGAACACGGAGTTTTGAACACATCGCTAATGTGGTCCTCAAAGATGTATGGCAAGTGTTGTTATTCTATAATTAATTGCCCCCAGTGGCACAGCGGTATGTCTGCGGTCTTGTACCATTAGAAACCGGGTTTCGATACGCGTGATAGTCAGAGCACAGATAGCTCTTTGTGCTTAATAACAAACAACTATGATTCATCATACGAGGAACAAATATCACGTTAAATAATGTTTTTGACAACTTGTACAGTAGTAGCACAGTATATTTGTTGAAATAGCTATAGTAATAGCAAGTATATATTAAAGTCTGCCTTTTTGATTTTAAAACATGTGATAAAGGAACTAGTGTAAAAAATTTTCACAAACTAGTAAAAGTGTTATTACGAAATAAACGTTTTATTGATGATTTTGTTATATGTTTTATTTATTACATCGTCCTTTTTAGAGCAGTGAATATATTTAAAATCATTAAACAAAAAGTTTTAATCACTATATCGCCTTTTTAGGATAAATGAGTTATAGCTAAGTGTCATTCTTAGGACGAATTAATTATAATTGGTTTAATTAATTGTGATTAATTATATTCTTGTTGCGACATCTATTATATGAGTCATGGTTGTCTAGCAACACCTTATCTACTTTGTGGTAATGAATTATCCTTAAGTGTCCTTTTTAGGATAAATTAATGAATTAGTGATATACTTTTAGTTCGATTTGATAATGTTAGTTATTCTTTTATGACATCTTAATTATAATTAACTAAGGAATAAGGGTCCTTTTTAGGATCATTTAACTATGGCTGTATTAATTAATTGATGAAGTATGGTCCTTTTTAGGACGATTGGATTACAGATAGTACACGTTCTCTGGATGAAAATTAATGAAAAACGCAAATTAAAAAGATTACTGGGTATTTATTGTCAGGAAGACATACAGATAGATCATAAGCTTCATTATATTAAGATTCACGTTTAGACATGTTTGGAACTGTAATTTCTCATACTATTGCATCCATTATGCCCATCTGGCTGATATCAAACTATAAATTCAATATTATGACATCATAACTGGTATCAAACTTTTAGCACAACATGGTCGTCTGTCATGGCGGTCATATTATCGTTGTTGAAACGTATCAAAACGAAAGCTCTTACCTAAATTTGTATCCCACAAAGATAGTAATGATATGTTTGTTCATGATTTTTGTTGTAAAACGTTTTCATGTAAATACGTCTTTACACACACACACACACACATATATATATATATACAGACGTCACAACATCTAGTGACAAAAATATGAACTATGTCCTCGTCATCTTTGAAGAGTCCGCCGTCATCTTTTTATCTCCCCCATGTCCTGAGGCAGCCAATCAGCCTGAGGTGGCACAAGTGCCTCCCTTACTACAAACGGTCTAAAACGAACACGCCGCTACAATCAGGGTTCAACAACAAAAACACAATAACAACACTTAGAAATAAGTTCAACACAGTTAATAAACAAAAACCAATAATAATGGAATCAGGAAAAATATATTTATATAAGATATTTATATATATATAAAATACAACAACTACAATATTCAAACAATACCTTTAATCTCTCTCTCTCTCTCTTAGTGAAGCTTCTGGCAGGGTATATATACACAGAGTAGGTCACGAGAGTACAACCTCCTGTGATAATAAA